TTATATATTTATTCAGAACAGACACACACGACATGCACATTTTTAATCTGTACAAAACAGATGGTCCTAAGCCTATATTAAAGTGAGAAGAGAAATGTGCTGTTCTGCTCAAAGTGAAATGTGCGCAAATGAGTTGTACCTTTATAATTTAAACCCAAAATATGTGTGCGCAAACGAGTTGTGATTTTGTGCGCAAACGTGCCGTAAAAAAGGTAAATGTGCGCAAACGAGTCGCACCCGTACTCTTATCATAACGCATTTTATATTATAATGCACTCTCGGAATAATGGTACCTACTTTGTTTGATTATGCAGCTGCTGTCTGACTGGCTGGCGGATCACTAAGCGTCTGCAGGTGATTCGGTCGATCCTGTACGACTTGATATTGAAGCTCGTTTGGCGGTGTATTGTCTTCGTTTGAATATATTTTACTATAGTGTACACCGATACAACACCATTATCCTCCTCAATAGTACCTACCGACCACGAGGGAATAATAAATAAAAATAGTATAGTGCGAACGATCGTTGAAAATTCAAGTCCACTTGCATATTTCCACTGTAACGCGCAATAGTACCTTCAGTACGTAATATATATTATTATGAACACCCGATCGTCCCGATCAGATGCCTATAAAGTATAAATAATGTTCATTTTTTGATTTTCATAGTTATATATATGTGTATTTCTTAATGTGTAGGTACACAGTATACAGCGTGATTTTTTTTACTCGAATCAGGCAATATCAACCTTTAACATTTTAAACAACAAATATTTAAAAACTGTATTATTCTCCACTAAAAATACCCCTGTATGGTATTATGGTGTGTACCTACAACACGTAATAGTATTTTTTGAGTTTTCGTTTGGAAATGAAAAGCTAATAAGTTATGTTTATACAGCGAATAACATGGACGGGGTGAATAATTTTGCCATGTTCAAGTAGACTCGGTGAATAATTGTACAATATTCAAGTATATACCTAATATTATGTACTCAATATTATGTTTCAAATAAAACAGACAAACATAATGTATACGAACCATTCCAGATTTTGTTTACACTCGAATAGACTTGTATTAGTTGAATTAATAATTTTCTAAATATACTTCATCGGAAATGACGAGTAGACAATCGCAGCTGTTGTTCATTTCATTTTTATTACACATTCGTGGTTTCGTTTCACGTTTATTCACGTCACGGTAACTGCAACAAAGTGTTTGAATTATAATCGACTAGTGTTGAACAACGTGCGTTCGTTTCCAATGGAATAATATCGCACATATTAATAAAGTGTACTTACGTATAATAATATTATAAAAACGAAATAAATGAAATTATATATTTTTGATGGCACCCTTTTGATCGTAAATCATCAATGATCAAATAACTATAGGTACTATATACGATGCTGTAAACATAATGATATAGCTGTTGAAAAACAATTACAAATCGTATATAAGTTTGTATTGATTTATGCGAAATCACGGGTGTTAACGCGAGGGAATTAAATAGAAAACATGAAATAAATTTAGTTAAATTGCAGGCATTGGATAAGTTTACCAAACTTTATTCTGATAGTATTGTAATATAGATGTAATTATTATATATTATTATAACATAAGACTCATGTATACAGACATAGAGACGTGCCATGTATAACTGCCTGGGTATGTTTTTTTCTTGTAATTTTACAAGCAGCAGCTCACTCTACTTCGCATTTCCATAGTGTAATCTCATAAACTTTGATGTGGCTGTTATAGAACGAGGTCACGTTTTCCAAACTGATCAATGTTTACCTATAACGTATTTGTGAAGAACGTCATCGTTAATAAAATGTATTACATTTTTGATTAACAGTCAATAACTGAAATCTACAAAAATGTGCACGCGAAGAGTCCAACCAGTATTTCAAATCATTATATTATTATAGGTATATGATATTATCAAGACAAAAAATACATATTTTATGATTCCTTTAAGATAAATTTGTTGTGCATCGTGGACGATAGTTATACCAAAACGGATCAAAGTTATTTGACAAGAGATAGTTGTTTACATCATGAGTGGTGGGAGGGTAAAGTAAAACGTAAACCCAATCAGGGGTGTAGGTAGATGTCTTCGCAGTGCGGCCTTTACCATACATTTTCTTAACTTTTACTGTTAGAAGTTAGAGTGACATAAGTAAAATATACGAAATCGGGCACAGATGAGATCTATTATTTTAACTAGTCATTTGAAATAAAAAAAAAGACCAGCCATGTTTAAATTTAAATGCAACCCCAAAATCCTGAAATTAAAATGTTTTAAATGTATATTAGGTACATAAAAAATTATTAAAACCACTAGATTCCAATGAACTTTAGAATATGTCAAAGTACTTGAACGTAAATTATTCAATTAAAATAATTATGTTAATTTCATTACGCGGAAATGTAAGCGAAAAGTTGATGTATACTATCTATTTATATTATAATATTATTTTTTGTTTTGTTCCCATTTTTAGTGAATATTTTATATCAACTGTACTAGGAAATTATAAGTAGACAAAATGATGTTTTCTACTCGCTTTTCGCGGAAAAAGATCTTATTGCGTTGGTGCATGCCATATATCAAATTTTTCCAATAATAAAATAGAAAATATTAAGTCGTTCGAGTTTAATTTTTTGGAATAAAATACTGTAGTACTACACTATTTAGAAATCGTACTAAATACTTTTTGTCATTATAATTATACAAACTTGACATACATAGATTAAGTTTACGACCATTTTAATGTGCAGCATAATACTAGCTAACAATAATGTCTACTTTTCGTATTTAATCTAGCTAAAGTTATAAAAGTTTATGGTGACCGATACTATCCACTGCTGTGTTCACAGTATTCTTTAAAATTTCCAATATCATTTAACGCCACGTAAAAGTAATTGCGCTGTTCTCATGCAATAATTAAAATCCTTTGACCTAAAAATTGTACATATCTATAATAATGATGATTGTGCAGCTGTCTGATAAAATTGCATACAAACAAACATTTTAATGTTACGTGTAAAATATATATTGCGTAATTTGACTAGGTATCAAATTGATTGACTGATGCAATCAGATGCGTGCAGTCGAAAAAAGAAAGCAAAATACAGTCACTCAGAAATGTCCTAATATTGTACAAAACTGCCGATTGGCAGTAAGGGACTATTTCTTAAAAATTCGTCTATCACTATATACTGCCAAAACTAACAGGTTTCAAATCGTGTGAAAAATTAGATTTACCATTTAATCTAGCATCCCAAACATCCTAATGCTGGTCAAAGTAAATTTATCGGAGATCACTAGTGTGCTCTGATTCACTTCGCTTATATATTATACCCAATTGACAGCTACGTTATTCGCGTTGTTTGTAACCCCTGCAAGTCTGAGATTTTGGCTTCTGACGATCGCTCTCAGGCTAGTTAACTTGAGTAGTATAAACTGTATATTAGTATCTAGGAATTTGTTCAAAGATTGGACAGTTGAAGACTTAATCATCTATAACTATATGTCGCATTCAGCTCTTAATATAAATAAAATAAGATAATATTTAAAGTAAGGGTGCCATAAATAAAATAAGATAATATTTAAAGTAAGGGTGCCTTCACGACAAGGCGTTGGTAAGATATAAATATCACACCAACGACCTTAAATGAATGGTAAAGGTATTAAAAGAGATAACCCGAACGCCAATATGGTAAATAATTGATTTTATTATAATTCCAAGTGATGGTAGGTACTTTGGTTCTCTATAATATTACAATGCGTGTTTAGCAATACATAATTAATAATAATAACAAGTGTGAAATGCCTACTTGGCACCCACTAGATGAATAAAATATAATAATAACAAATGCAAATAATAATTCAACAGTGATTGATTAGCACATAAAAATAATAATAATTGAATAATAATTTAAGACAGCTCGTCAGCTGGTTACCTGGAGAACTGGTGTCCGTTAGCGGCTTTGAACCTAACGCTACCGTCTCAGGATGCACACATTTACACAATAAAAATACAATATTATAATAATTAAATGTGTGGCAATCCCGAGAACGTACGACTAACGGGCCACCAGCTCAAACGAATAAATCACTGAACACATGTAATGGACAATGACACTGATGACACAAAAATCACGTGCTTCTGTAAGTATCTCATGTGCGCCCTAAATTGGGGAATAATATTTAATGTTTGAACAAAACAAATGACTGAACGATACTTACAGAAAGCAATTCACAGGAAACGAGCACAGGATGATTGAACGTATAAATGTATAAAATGAATGTATGCTTCTTCAGTATGTATAAAACGAATGAAATATTGAAGTGTGCTCTGGCTAGGGGTTGACTTGGACCGACCAGCTCGAGAGACGTGCGAAAAAAAAAAAGAAAAACAGAAAAGGCGAATGTATTTAATTGAATATTATGAGTTTTTACGAAGACGAATGAATGTATTGAATAACCAATGAGAAAACGCATAATTCACAAAAATGCTATCAGTACCACCTTAAACATTTAATACGAAAAAATACAAGACTTTCGGTGGCACTGAAAGCGACACAAAACTTTACGAACGAAGAAAAACATTAAAAGTGCATAAAAATAACAAAAATACGAAAAAGCGACCGTTGGAATGCACACGTTGCCCATTATCAGTTAGATAACACAACGACGGTGGGACAACGCGCGCACTCACCAGACAATCAGACTGCCGCTGCAGCTGTTGTTCGGTCCGCGATAATGCACCGGCGCGAAAAGGAAATATTTTGAATATAGCTTGCGGAGCGAACATACACCCCCCTTTGAAAGGATCAACCTTTCAACATTATAATGACAATAACAACGAATAATGGAACTATGACTACGTATGAAAAGTGATAATTTTGCTACATGCAACATTATCAATAAGAGATAATAATAAAAAAAAAAATAAATAAATAATACATTGGTGGAGTCCTCTTTTGATGATGACTAAGGTTGTTCTTCTCTCTCATCTTCTTCACTTGGTAGCAAGGAAAGTTTCACCACTGGGCGTTTGAAAATGTTGCCAGAGGAATTGCGTAAAGTGACCACTCGAACAGTGCCATCAGGACCAGGATGAACATCTTGAACCCTGACCAGAGCCCATCTGGTAGGAGGAAGATTTTCTTGTCGGAGAAGACATAGGTCACCCACTCTTATGTTTCGAGTTGCTTTTATCCAGCGACCTCGGCGTTGCAATTGAGGAAGGTACTCCCGGGACCATCTCTTCCAAAACTGTTGAATGCAAGACTGTACCAATGCAAAACGTTTAAGTCTAGACATCGGGGTGGTGGATGAATCTGCTTCAGGTGGCAATGTGATAACCCCACCAATGAGAAAATGAGCCGGTGTTAGAGCTTGATAGTCTGATGGGTCATTGGATAACGGAGTCATGGGTCTAGAATTTAAAACTCCTTCTATTCCACACAGCAACGTTGTAGCTTCTTCAAATGTAAATGTTGCATTTGATGATATTTTTGTCAGGAGTTGTTTGGAAGACTTAACCGCAGCTTCCCACAGACCTCCAAAGTGAGGTGCTGAGGGTGGAATAAAGTGCCATTGCATAGATTTTTCAGAAAGATATGATAATGTTGTATGAGTCTTGGAAATTTCCTCAAACTGTGACATGAGTTTGCGATTCGCACCAACAAAATTTGTGCCATTGTCGCTGAAAAGGTTACTGCATTGTCCTCGGCGAGACATGAATCTAGTTAGTGTGGCTAGAAACGCATCGGCAGTTAAAGATGAGACTAATTCCAAATGAATAGCGCGTGTGACTAAGCACACAAATACAGATATATATGCCTTTTCAGTCTTTACACGACGGATACCACTTCGAATCATTATTGGCCCGCAGAAATCTACTCCACATTGAGAAAACGGCCTTTCAATAGTGGTACGTTGCCGAGGTAGCGGAGCCATGAAAGGTGTTATTAATTTTGGATTGGTTCGGAAACATTGAATGCATTGATGCACGGTTCGACTGGCAAGACTTCGTCCACGGATGGGCCAGTAATTTACTTGTATGTGTGAGAGTAATGCTTGTGGACCAACATGCAGTAGCCTCAGGTGCTCATATTTGAAAAATAATCTTGTGAAAGTTGATGAGGGTGGCAATACAACTGGAAACTTTGTATTGTCATGTATTGGTGCATACGCTAAGCGACCTCCAACACGCAAAATACCAGTACCGTCAACAAATGGATTTAGCTTTAACAGGCAGCTTGACCGATGAATGGGTAAATTTGAATTTAAAGCCTTTAGTTCCGAGGGATAAGCTTCAGCCTGAATCTTGCGAATCCAAAATTCCCTGGAAGCTTTGAGGTCTTGTACAGTCAATGCACCTGTCGTACGTTGATCTATGAGTTTTCTCTGTATTGTACAATTGTGTACGAATCGTTGGACTAAGGCAGTTATACGTATAAGTTGCATGTAACTTGAATATTTGTTTAGCAGCCAGGAATCGGACGAATGAGTTGTAGCCAGCACCAACTTTACTGGACGAACTTCAGGGATTTCTGATGGTAGCTCTGGGATGCCTGGCCATGAATCACTTTTCAAAAGTAACCAGGATGGTCCGTTCCACCAAATTGACAATGAAGGCAGCGCAGCAGGATGTATACCTCTTGTTATTTGATCGGCAGGATTTTCCTTAGAAATAACATGGCGCCATTGAGCATTTACTGTAATGTCTAATATTCGAGCAACTCTGTTTGCTACGTATGATAGCAAAGGGACTTCATTTTTTAGCCAAGCCAAAACAATTGATGAATCAGTCCATAGTAAAATTTCGTTTACACTGAATTGCATGCCTAAACAACTGAGTTCATTTTTTACCTCTAACAACAGTTCAGACAGCAATACTGCACCACATAGTTCGAGTCTAGGGATGGTTGTAGCTTTCATTGGGGCAACACGAGATTTGGATGCCAGGAGATGTACTTGCACTTGACCATTTGGACTGGCAGAACGTAAGTAAATGCATGCACCAAATGCCTCTTGCGATGCATCGCAAAAGCCATGAATGGTAACCTTTGAATCTGCAGTGTTGATAACCTTACGTGGTATAGCCAATTCATGCAAGGACTGAAGAGAGTTGTAGAATTTTATCCATCGAGCTTGCAATTCAGATGGGATAATGTCGTCCCAGCTCATCTTCATTCCCCATAATTGTTGAATGAAAATTTTTCCAAGAATGAGAACCGGGGATATGAGTCCAATAGGATCATAAACTGAGTTGATGTCTGATAATAGTGTACGCTTGGTCATGTTTAACGGCGGTGACCAATGCTTGAACGTAAAACAAAATTGATCAGTGATAGGTTGCCACGTGAGTCCTAAGGCTGTAACCGTGTCATTCTCACTGAGTTTTAATACAAACGTTGGGTCATTACATGCTGATGGTATTTGGTTAATAAGATTGACCGAGTTGGAACACCATTTGCGAAGTGGAAAACCAGCTGGACTAAAATGTTTTAATAGTGAACTGTAAATTTGATAGCATTCATCTTCAGATGCCCCACCACTCAGGAGGTCATCAACATAAAAATCCTGAGTGATTACTCGATTTAATTTAGGATTGTCTGTGCATTTTCCAATCTCAGATAAACAACGAGTGGCCAAATACGAGGCTGATTTTGTTCCATATGTTACAGTGCACAGCCTGTATTCTTGTAGTTGATCAGTAGGACTTTTTCGATAAAGAATTCGTTGGAGGTCTCTATCCTCAGGTGCAACTAAAACTTGTCGGTACATTTTCTCGACGTCCGCTGTGATCACTACTTGGTGAATGCGAAATCAAAGAAGGATATGAAATATATCTGACTGTACTTTTGGTCCTTTCAACAGAACATCATTGAGTGCTATTCCGGACTTGGTGTTGGCAGAACCATCAAAAACTACACGGAGCTTTGTGGTTGTGCTATTGGCCTTAAATACTGGATGGTGAGGTAAATAATATTTTGGTCCAGTGCATGTAGGATTTGCCAGCTCCATGTGGTTCAACGCCAAGTATTCAGAAATAAACATATTATATTGTTCTGCCAATTTTTCATCTTTACTAAGTCTCCTTTCTAAATTGTAAAACCGCCTCTCTGCCATTGGACGAGAATCACCCAGAAATGTGATCTTGTCATTAACTGGAAGCTTTACAACAAATCTCCCACTTTCATCACGCTTAACAGTTGATGAAAAGTGCTTCTCCGCTTGAGCTTCTTCGATGAATTGAGCATTTGTAGTTGAGGTAAATAGACTTAACGCAGAATTGGTAGATACTGGGGTGGATAGCATGGTTATTTTTGACTTAACTAATGACTTCTCAAATAATTTACCAACAAGTATCCAACCAAGTTTTGTATTGTGTACACTAATATGCTTGGACAGCTGTTTACGTGCACCCAGGAAAATGTCATAAAATAGTTCGGCGCCAAATAATATGTCAACAGTAGCTGGTACGTTGAGTTGAGGATCAGCTAGATTGCCCTTAACATCATCAGGTATGTTCAATTGATCCATGCTGAACATTTGATGCGGAAGTCTTTCTGTTATCGTTGGCAATGAATGAAATTCAATCGAGGATTGATAGTTTTGACAATGCGATGATACAGTGCATGGCATTAAACGCACAGTGGAAGAAGACATAGTACCAACACCAGATATTGACAATGAAACATTAGTCTTCTTTAAACGCAGGCGTTGAGCACAAGATGACGTTATGAAGTTGAGTTGAGATCCAGAATCCAAAATGGCTCTACAGCGTTGAGGTCGTCCATCAGCGTCATGAACATTTATTACAGCAGTAGCAAGCATCACAGTGGACGTGGTACTTGGCGCATGCTTGTTGCTGGTCATTGCATGGCATACTGCATTATCTTGACTGGTTGTCTGTGTCTCAGTTTGCGTAGAGCTCTTGGGTTCTGACATATGGCTCGAGTCAACATGTAGTCTTGAATTATGTTTTTTTTTACAACGTGGACATCCAGGATAATAGCAAGATTCAACTTGATGTCCAAAATTCAAGCAGTTGAAACATAATTTAAATTTAGTGACAACATCCTTACGCTCAGACACTGACATTTGATTGAATTGGTTGCATGCATAAATTCTATGTGGTTCTGTACACAACACACACTTGATAGTATGAGGTTCAGATTTTTTAGCAAAAAAAGCTTTGACATCATGTTTTTTGGCTCCATACTGAGACTTTCCAGTGGTTTGTTTTGTATCAGACTTTGATGAAATATAACCGACTTCATAGGCAGCTATGCGTTTAGACAGAAATGACTCAATATCTTTAAATGCAGGGAGCTCCTTGCTGGTTTGTAGTAGCTGCCACTCACCAGCAGTAGTTGGATCTAGATGACAACAGACAATTGTTGTCAACCAGGCATCCCAATGTTGTACAGGCTGCTTTAAGGCGATAAGAGAGCGAACATGAGAATTAACATGATAATGTAACTTCTTTAATTCAGCAGCACAATTAGTATGTACCTTTGGCGAATTCAATAATGCACGGATATGAACTTGGATAGTTAACGCCTTGTTTTCATATTGCTTTACTAATTCATCATAAGCAGCTTGGTAATTATCTGAAGTAATTGAGAAACTTTTAATCACCTCAGCAGCTGTACCGCAGACACCTGACTTAAGATAATGCATTTTATGAACATTAGGTAAATCTTTGTTGTTGTGGAATAGTGCATTAAAGGTGTCAATGTAGGAAGCCCAATTCTCAATCTCACCATTGAATGTGGGAATGTTAATTGTGGGTAATCTCATTGTTTCATTGACTGATGCACGTGACTGGTTGCTAGGATGCATTGAACTTGATGTTGTACTTGGCCCATGCTTTTCTATAAGCTCTTCCATGTCAGCCACCAAAGTGAATGTAAAGTCATCAAAAACAACCTGTTCAGTGACATCATCATATCCCAATTCAAAATCAACAATGGCTTCTTGAGTGACAGACAACTCGGCCATAAATGCAGTCAATTTTGATAAACGGATTTGCAGTTGGCGCACAGATGAACTGGCCGGAATGAATTTGTTGACATAGTCCCTGACGGAGTTTATCGAGTCCTTGATTGATTGACGCTTCTTGATCAGCTTACGCAATTCCTTAGGCAAAGAAGAGAGGTCGGACTCGAGCATGATGTTGAATTTCACTTATAGATGTAGGACAAGTATAATTGTAGTATGTCTAAAGTTCAACTAACAAATATATAAATGTAAAATGTGCAATATAGAAATAATATAATGAAATGCAATACAGAACCAAATACCAATTAGTATAAACTCAATATGTCTGAATGACTGAATAAAAATATTTTTTTTTTGTATTAATAGTTTATTGATTGTAATATTAATATTACAGTGTTATCTATAATAATAAAAGCGAGCTGATCACGTCGAGGTCACCAAAAATGTCGCATTCAGCTCTTAATATAAATAAAATAAGATAATATTTAAAGTAAGGGTGCCATAAATAAAATAAGATAATATTTAAAGTAAGGGTGCCTTCACGACAAGGCGTTGGTAAGATATAAATATCACACCAACGACCTTAAATGAATGGTAAAGGTATTAAAAGAGATAACCCGAACGCCAATATGGTAAATAATTGATTTTATTATAATTCCAAGTGATTGTAGGTACTTTGGTTCTCTATAATATTACAATGCGTGTTTAGCAATACATAATTAATAATAATAACAAGTGTGAAATGCCTACTTGGCACCCACTAGATGAATAAAATATAATAATAACAAATGCAAATAATAATTCAACAGTGATTGATTAGCACATAAAAATAATAATAATTGAATAATAATTTAAGACAGCTCGTCAGCTGGTTACCTGGAGAACTGGTGTCCGTTAGCGGCTTTGAACCTAACGCTACCGTCTCAGGATGCACACATTTACACAATAAAAATACAATATTATAATAATTAAATGTGTGGCAATCCCGAGAACGTACGACTAACGGGCCACCAGCTCAAACGAATAAATCACTGAACACATGTAATGGACAATGACACTGATGACACAAAAATCACGTGCTTCTGTAAGTATCTCATGTGCGCCCTAAATTGGGGAATAATATTTAATGTTTGAACAAAACAAATGACTGAACGATACTTACAGAAAGCAATTCACAGGAAACGAGCACAGGATGATTGAACGTATAAATGTATAAAATGAATGTATGCTTCTTCAGTATGTATAAAACGAATGAAATATTGAAGTGTGCTCTGGCTAGGGGTTGACTTGGACCGACCAGCTCGAGAGACGTGCGAAAAAAAAAAAGAAAAACAGAAAAGGCGAATGTATTTAATTGAATATTATGAGTTTTTACGAAGACGAATGAATGTATTGAATAACCAATGAGAAAACGCATAATTCACAAAAATGCTATCAGTACCACCTTAAACATTTAATACGAAAAAATACAAGACTTTCGGTGGCACTGAAAGCGACACAAAACTTTACGAACGAAGAAAAACATTAAAAGTGCATAAAAATAACAAAAATACGAAAAAGCGACCGTTGGAATGCACACGTTGCCCATTATCAGTTAGATAACACAACGACGGTGGGACAACGCGCGCACTCACCAGACAATCAGACTGCCGCTGCAGCTGTTGTTCGGTCCGCGATAATGCACCGGCGCGAAAAGGAAATATTTTGAATATAGCTTGCGGAGCGAACACTATACGTTCCACTACGATAAAATAAGGGTTAACGGTCACTTTGTGCGGTCAATTGCTTAAAATGCAAGGCCTGGACTATTTGTATATTATTAAATACAATGAAGTATGTTATGAAGTCATGAAAAATTATACTAAAATTTTGATAAGGTTCGATGTGATTTAAACATTGCTTGATGTCGAATAATATATTTATGATTCGTATTTATGAAGTCATAACAAATAATATAAAAGATTTTTATATCATAACTAGCTGGTCCCGTGCACTTCGTTGCCCTTTAAATGTACCAACTCTATACGATTCAAACTTTGTTCAATTCGTTATTTAATATTCGGTGTATGTATGTATTGTTCAACATTTATCTTAACTTTTCCGTTGCGCGGAATAAAAATTCTGATAGCAGTATATTATCAGGTAGGCAATCTACCTGCGGTTGATCGCAGACTCCGTGCTGTTTGTACGTACGTTTGTCGTATTCCACCTATGGAGGATTAATATAATCAATAAAATAAAAAATAATAATGATAAAAATAATAATAATAATACAAATCAACAAACATGCCCGATTAACCGATAGCAACCAATATAAAATACACTGTGATGTCACTGTTGTATTTTTTACACCCAGATTTCCTACTTTTCCGGTGGATTTTCTTAAAATTTTCTTTTGTAAAAACCTTTTCATGGCAATTACGAAAAAAAATTTGAGCCAGCCGGACCAGCCGTTCTCGATTGATGAGGTAATGTCATTTTTCACGCTCCATTATTATATATATATAGATATAGTAGCTATAATAAATATTACCTATTTATAATCAACATTTATATCAAATAAGTAGATACCTAAAATAAAAAAAAAAATTAAAAACCATGAGTATAATGTAGAATTTACAGGGTTATAACTTATAACTGAAATCTTCACTTCTACTCGCTTTCTATACTTAGATATCTCTCAAATATGAAATAAGAAATAATGCTAGAATCTCATTGAACTTTATAACATTTTTAATATAATTTTCATGGCTTCAGAATTGTTTATGTTATACGTATTTAATACTATATTATTTACGTTTATAATATGTCTATCATAGTACAAACTTCGAAGTGTCGGCCTCCTGCAATCTAAATGTTTATCCAACCGTACAAAGTGACTTAGAACCAAACCAGACGAGAATCTGAATAACTAAAATGGTGGTTAGGTATTTAATAAACTGCACACTTCGCTTGTGTGCTAATGGATTTTCTAGTATTTTATCAACTTTTGAGTAAAATGTAAGTAGAAAATTAATTAATTTGTCAGATTTTACATTGATGAGTAGTAGTGGTGTAACGTAGTGTATGTTAATTGTTTTATAATTTATGTTTGTTATCCCCCTTAAACTATGTTGTAAAAATATGAGTATAATGACACGGCTGGTCATTTTTTAATTTTAAATTAAGGTTTAAAATAATTGATTCGATAAGTAAAATCGCATATTTTCCATGTTTATTCACTATTTAATATAAAGAACAACAATATTTGTTATGCATTTTACATCATGCATATTTCAAACATTTTTAGTGCAATAAGTTCCAAACTCTAATTATTAGACATTTTTGAGTTATTTTCGAATAGATATATATGAATTATGAATATGATATAAATTACAAATATTATCATACAACGAATCGTCAAGGACTAGACAACGATGGACGGCGGCCAACCCAAGTTTCTTAGTCTTGTCTGATGTGATTAGGTACTGTATATTAAACTATATTGTGGTCGTCTCAAAATAGAACTTCCTGAGCCCACCAATAATGTGTTCACTTTTGTATTTTCATATTTTACCGTAAGTAAATGTGGAAACAATAACATTTCTCATCCTCGGTGTGATATGACCGGTATATCTAAACTATACTTGAATGTTCCTATACCCACGTCTTAGCACTGATAAAAGACTATATATTTCAAATTTCTGGTTTCGCCCGAGTTATAACCATCAACAACAAGGAAATTAACCGATGTCCACTGGCCGTAGTCCGCCACTCGTCGTTTTCTGTAGATTCGATTTTAATTTCGTTACCTACCATATTTTGCCTAATACTGTTTCCGCATACAATACGAGGAGTTGTTTACCATTGTATTCGTAATAATATTATAATGAATTCATTTAAAAACTATAATCCCTGTGTTCATGTTGTGTACTTAATGCGTAAACTTTTACTTCAAAATACAAACAAAAAAAGCAACGAATTATCTTTGTATTTTTTTTATTATTATTCCATAGCATGTAAACTTTCATGTACAACTTCATTGAACGCTACACGCGGTTATGGGCGTTTTGTTGTTGTGTTTATTAGTTTATTATTTTTAATATTACCTAAAAATTGTTTGCTGTTATTTTAAACGCTTGTAACGAGTTAATTAGTATTCGATAATGAATTATTTGATGAAAATATGTGATTTTTTGAAATGTTTTAAAACTTTCAAGATTTTTGTATTCAAACATGAATCCATTCGTGGCATATTTTTTCCGGGCTTGACTGACTTGACCTACTATTATAACTGCTAAACGATCGTATTTCAACTACTCGTCTCCTAACATTCGATATGCCTAAGCATATATAGTTCCTGCTAGTTTTTAGTGCAGTGTATGTGTTGTATCCACTACCTACCTAAAAGGTGCGGGAAAATCAATACGTTCCATCTGGATAAAGTCCTAGACTAAAACAATGTAAAGAGGTCCTCAAGGAAATAACCTCGTAATAATCACCGATCGGCCAGTCGATCGGCCGGTACGTATAGCTAGGGTATAATATATTATGATGTAGGTACCATCGTATTATTTCATATTCTTATGAAATATTTTTATTCGTACATATTGTTTAAAATTATGTTATTCTAATTTGTGCACTTATTATTTACCATCGGAAACCTTTTTGCTGTGGAAAGTTATTTTTTAAGTACTATTTTTTTTAAATGACGGTCGACACAACTCACTTGAACGTGGTTGGGTTTTGGTATTTATACGTCGACAGGTGGTCGTCATGGGGTTAAAACTAAACCGAACGCGTTTTGGTTGTTTCAGATACGCTACGTCGTCGTCGTCGTCATCATCATTGTAGGGCAACCACCGTACAGCGGCGCCGTGGCCGCTATGAAGTTGGACAGCAACATGAACGTGATGTCGCGGAGCAACACGTGGCCCGTGGTGGTGGTCCGGCTGGAACACGACGGCGGCGTGCACGTGATCGACAACGGCCCGTCCGACGACGGGCCATGCACCGCGGCCACGGACGACTTGACCGGCTTGTTCGCTGGTGTCGGCGGTGGCGGCGGTGGTGTGGACGCTAATGGTGGTGGCGTGGCGGCAGCCGACACGTGTCCGCTGGCACCGCTGTCCGCTCGCAAGCGGGCCACGCTGCAGCGGCACTACTATCCGGAAGGCGGCTGGGGATGGGTGATCGTGGCTACCGCGGTCGCTGTTCACGTGATCAACCACGGGCTTCAACTCTCGGCGGCCGTCATGCTGAGACCCGCGGCCGACAAGCACGGTCAGCCGGTGGTCAATACAGGTCAGTGAGCGAATATTTATTTAATAATATTATATTATGGTTTATAATATTATTACAATCATGCGGCGGTACCGTACTGCAGCTGTGATGTGATTGTGACCTGTGATGTGATTGTGACGGTGATCCTACAAATTTGTGTAAAAGTCGATTTTGAAACAGGCCTAGGAGTCAGTGCCGTCATTCACACAATATTTGCTGGTGCACACATTGGTCACTCGTGATGTTTAAAGTAGATGACCACTATATTATGGTGGCTGAACTGTTTGCACATGACTATTAGCTCCCCATACAACATAATTTATTGGCAATAGCAAATTACAACTTTCATTCCGTTTGGTAGATTGAAGACTGCTTTCCTTTGAGCTTGTATAGTGTGAATGTGCAGTCTCTAGGCCCAGCGACCAATAGCCTTTCAAGGACGATATAGGAGACAGCCCCCTCCCCCTCGTATAGGCCTTTACTAATCACCTTTCGTTATAATAAAAATATATATTAAACATTAATTTTCCGCCACCCTGGAAACTCGATTTGTCCTCGCTTGTTCTCAGGCCGGCTGTATTCCGTCGCTCTAAACTTAACTTCTGCGGTCTTGTTCTCGAGTTGGCTTCCCACCGTACTAAAAGGTTATGCCTTTTCTGTCCCTGTCTGGTCCAATACCTACGTAGGTTTCTACACATCGAATGTATTAGGAAATCGTTTGAGACTTTTTACGAATTATAATTATTCTTTATTGTGTAAAAAAAACTGCATAACTATACTATAAATAATTGTTACAACGATACAGATGATTCCTAATTATTATTAGCAAGTATAATTGACTGGATGTGATTTCAACTTTAACAATGTTTTCGAATAATTATAGTACCTATTGGTCTATGATTTGGTCCAATACAGTTATACGGTCTTGCAAACAAGCAGAAAACGACTTATCAATAAATTGCAATACTATTAATAGAAAATATTTTGTGTTAAAAATAGTTAACATTTATTCAAATAATGTGTAGGCACATGTCAAACGGCATAAGATTTATTATTTTATAGACATATTCAATGTTTTGGATAATATACATTATTATATGGGTAATAATGGTTCTAATAGAAAGTTTGTTTGTAGAAAGTTTTAAAGTATTGATTGCAAAAAAAAAATAAAAATATAAAAAACAAAGTTGGTATTATATCATTTTGAACATTTGAAGGATAGATTTCTGAAAAAAAGGTCATTCATGTTATACAAGAATGTTTTTTATGGTGCATTTAAATTCAGACCGTGTACATTACATAGGTATATTATTGAGCGATTACGTAGGTATAGTTCATTTTGATTTATTACATTGTACATTTGTACAAAATAATATAGTAAATCCGCCGTTATGTTTTATGCCTCAAATGTTTTGTAAAAAATAGGTTTGGTTTAAAAATTAAAACATACTGGCCCAAAATTTTTTGAAATACCTTTGAAAATGGCCGATCCTCCAGAGCTGTAGAATCGCAATCGAAACCCGTGTAACCATCTACAACAGTTGTACAGGTATAAATTACATTATCACGGCAACCTAATAATTTCGTAACGGTCATGTCGTATACGGAACTCATAAATTTGTTAATCATATCAACCCTAAATATTTTATTCACGCGACATCGACAAACCCCTGAATAATTTTCGAGGAAATTCGACTTCTGCTATAGATATTTTTGTAATTAAAAAATTAGATTTCTGTTATTTTCGCTGCAACACGTGACGCAGTAGTATTATTCAGTCGTGTTTGACGTTTCGCAACGGAATTCATAATAACTCATTGCTCTCGTATAAACATCCACTTAAACAAGCAACAAATCTGGCGATTTTATGTTTACATATTATATTATACAAGTAACGGACGACTGAAGCTTATGATAATAATATGTAGTATAATAAAAAATAATACTACCTATGTAGAGTATAAAAATTATATTCTTTCATAAACACGAAATTAAATTTTACGTCAGTCATCTTCCTAAATCCTAATGCACACTTAATTATTACACCAACGAGGGGCTGTGTTTAGTGTTATATTTATGTAGGCAAGTATATACTATTATTATCTAAACGAATTATTCTTTACGAGGAAAATTATGGCAGTCATTTAATTGACAATGTTACTACCTATTTAAAATGTACCCAGGTAATAAGTTATATTTGATCGACATAAAATATTACAAATAATTAAGTAATTTCACAAAAATACACTTTTTATGAACAGAACATTCACGAATATAAGTAATTTGCTCACATTATGACATTTATAACTTAAGTTTCAAGTATTGATGTATTGAAGTATTCAAAATCAATAATCTTATATAGATTCAAAATAGTCGAAATATCAATAAATTAATTTTAAATTATATTAACTTAAAAATATAAAACATATATTATACCTACTCTTCGTTTTTGTACAGTTAAGGAATATTTTATTTAAAGTACCTATACATCCTGCTATAATATACATGATTATACATGTAGGCAGTACTTTGATAATCCGTTATTTAAATAGTTAACTATTATGATACATGATTACAAGTCTATATTTAGTATACCATACTGTGGTAATTTTTTGAATGCATTGCACAAGTATTTCTGTATGCCTGTATCAAAAGTTAAAAGTTCAAGTCCTAAATTTAATCGAAAATGAGGTTTCAACGAAATATTAAATTTCCTATAATATTCTTATGTGTTAACCAAGTGTCGTAACCGGCAATTAGATTTTTATCACATAATTGTTCTATTTTCCTTTATTTGAAGCTAACGATAAATGATGCCAAATGTAGTAAGCTATGACTAGTATGAAGCTACATCGAAATGTTACGATGACAATTCTCATTCTTATCATTGTCATCTAACGAAACGTTTCAAATTAAAATAATTCTCAACAAAATGAAACTTTCATATAGCGTTTTATTTTAATAAACAAAATATACACGTTCGGTAATAATATTTTTATGGTATAATTTTTAATGACATATTACCATTATATTATATTAATAAAATTGATTAGATGATAAACATATTTTAGCCAACCACCTTACAGTATATGTAGGAACTTAAAAATGCATTAGAGGCGGTAAAAAATAAAATGTCATGACCATGGTATAACCTATGTGCATGTCGTTCTCACGAGGGTACAATATTATAATACAGTTAAGGTGCCATGTTAAGGGCAAAAATATGTGTGGTGGTGTGTGGTGTGTTCAACATTAACCACATTTTCAGGAAATATTCAGAACATTTAAATGCAGTAAATTAACTCGTAAGAGCTTTCTATATTATATTTATATAAACTTACAAGTGAAGCAAAATAAGGCCAATAAAAGTAATAATAAAATAATATTTAGTCACATTAGAACAAATATTATGTGTCCACTTATTGACTGATTTTCAAAATATACTTCTACTTTTTAATTTTGAATTAACATTATTAGAAGGAAAATCCTATCAAATCAAATTTTCAGTACATTTTTCATTGAACCCATTCAAATTATGTAGGTACCTACATTAATAATATGCGTGCTCTAAACTATTAAAAGTTTTAAAAAATTTAAATTAATAACAACAAAAATATGTGTGTAATATTTAATATTTTATATACCTATCTATAAATAATATAATTTCATTATAGTTTGAAATAATTATTTATAGAGAAGCAAAAAAAAAAATAATAAAAAAAATCACTATTCCGTGTCATTCGTTTGCGGTTGATTTACGGATCAGAAATGCAGATAAATCCTTTTTTTTCAATGTTCAAAAGAAACTGTGGAAATCCAGCCTGCTATCGACCAATAATAATTACACTTCTATGATTACATCAAATGTGTTTTCCCGACAATGTTCAAACGCCCTTGTCGCATACAGCTCAAAACAATATCCTTTTTTTTATATTATTATACATTACGTTAAAAAAACGATATATTTTTCAAACACCGCATAAACCACTTGTAATGTGGGGTCACGACTCTCGAGTGAAAAATTGTAGAGATAAATAATTCAAACACATCCGGTGCCCACACAATCCCCCGGCCTCGTGAAGGTCATTCTCGAGGGGCGGTGGTGGGTTATGTGCGCCCTTTACTACCGGACGTGACAAGCGTCGTCGGAAATGCACTGACCGGAATCGGTGACAATACCCGGAAGACGTGCAACGGTCGACAGGACGGGACGACCGTGAAGTCGCACAAGGTTCAATGATAGATATCTATCGCGTGCATTTTATAATGTCCATGAGCAATAATATCCGAATAGGAACAAGGAACCTATAAAATGTATGGATAGGGTGTGATTATATAAACGGTGACACTTATCGTAATTTCTAAATAATATTGACATTTTTCAAAATTTTCTTTTTAATATTTAATTTAAGAAAAACTGTGAGTATTATTTTTTTATATACTACATTTACTGCTTCCGTTCAAGATTTTGTTAATGATTTTCGTTTATAACATGTATATCAATATAAGAAATTTGAATCTCGAAATTACTAAAAAATATTTCCGGTTGTTGTTTGAAGAACTTTAATTGTAAAAAATAATATAATATATTATTTGTTTAAAAGTTTAAAACGTAGTGTCTGCCCTTATAAACACATATAATACTTCAAAGGATGTTGAAATATATATATTTTTTCAAATTGACCCAAATTGTAAATGTTTTAATCTGTATATTTGCATGTTGTGTGAATATTATATTATATCGTCAGCGGTCAGTTCATTATTGCCTGCACGTCGCAGTCGACGTAAATGGTCACACTAACAATATTATTGAATTACTTATATATTTTTGTCTCCAACTCGACCATATAATATATGTAATATGTATATACTCAATACTGTATATAGACGGTGATTTACAATTTACCAAGCTGCTCATCCTTTTCTGGCTTCTGCTATAGTGCTATCTTTCAATACCAATAATGCATTTTTGAATTCCGATGTATAATTAAAGATCAGAATTTGTGAATAAATATATTATTAAAAGATA